TTGATCGCCCAGCTTTTTGCAAGCCGCCGGCCTGCGTGGGCCGGCTCTGCAGAGGAGGAGGGAGAGAAGGATGTTGGCGAGGAGGCGAGGAGGAAGCAGGAATCACATTTTGAGGATGGATATCACAGATCGGCGGATGAGGAGGACGATCTTTCAACGAGGAGGAGGGCAAGGATATACTTCAGATGTCGTTTGTTGAAGGTAGGTATCGTTGGAGCCCCACGTCCCAATCTACTGGGAGCGCCTTCCTGCAGCCAAGTCTCCTTCACCCCCCACCCCAACGAAGCAGCGGACATGACAGACACAGTTGCATTATCGACACAGCTGAGGTCAAATTGTGGTGAAAACCACAGTGCTTGAGCCCATCCAAGGGCGAGGAGGTCTTACATGATCTCCAGGCCATCCAACTGGTACGTTGGCTCAAGCTGCGCACTAGGAATGTTATTATATGCGACTGCTTCTACTACTGCTGCTGCTACTACATCTACGAAGACTATTACGAACACTACTTCTTCTTCTACTACTAGTAGTATTACTACTACTACTACTACTACTACTACTACTACTACTGCTACTACTACTACTACTACTACTACTACTACTACTACTACTACTACTACTACTACTACTACTACTACTACTACTACTACTACTACTACTACTACTACTACTACTACTACTACTACTACTACTACTACTACTACTACTACTACTACTACTACTACTACTACTACTACTACTACTACTACTACTACTACTACTACTACTACTACTACTGACTACTACTATGACTACTACTGTGACTACTACAGGGAGGTCAAACAAACTAGACGGACATGCCCGGCTTCAGTCTCGCGGACCTACTCTAACATCATATTTTTCCAATTCCTTACATTGTTTCAAGCCCTGCTGTCATCGCGCGGATGAAAATGGTCACGGCTATCTTCCCCCACCTCTTCCTCCTCCTCTCCTTTCTCCTCCTTCTCCCACTCCTCCTTCTCCCCCTCCCCCTGGCGGAGGTTGCAAAGCGATGAATTTGGAGAAATATTTTGGGGGAGATCTGCAGGAACATCAGAGGGAGGAAGATCTGGGGAAAGAGCTGGCGGAAGATCTGGTGCAAGATCTGGCGAAAGATCTGACGGAAGATTTGGCGGAAGAGCAGGCAGAACATTTGGAAGATAAATTTGGCGGAAGATTTGGAGGAAGATATGGCGGAACATTGGGAAGACAATCTGCCGGAAAATTTGGCGGAACATTTTGGCAGAAGATTTGCGGGAAGATCTCGCGGGAGATTTGGAGGATCATTTTGGCGGAAGATACATATAGCGGAAGATACATATAGCGGAATATTTGGTTGAAGATTTGGCGGGAGATTTGACGGAACATTCGGAGAAAGATTTGGCGGAAGATTTGGAGGAATATTTGGCGGAAGATTTGGCGGAAGATCTCGCGGGAGATTTGGAGGATCAATTTGCCGGAAGATTTGGCGGAAGATTTGGAGGAAGATTTGGCGGAAGATGTGGCGGAAAATTTGGCGGAATACTTGAAGGATACATATGGCGGCAGATAGCGGAAGATTTGGCGGAAGATTTGGAATATGAATTTGGCGGAAGATGTCGCGTATAAGATCTAGCGGAAGTTTTGGTGGAATATTTGGAGGAAGATGTGGCGGAAGATTTGGAGGAAGATTTGGAGGAGAAAATTGGCGGAAGATTTGGCGAAAGTTCCGGCGGAAGTTCTGGAGGAAGATATGGCAAAAGAAGAGGAGGAGGAGGTGTAGCAGGACGAGGAGGAGGACGGAGTGGAGAACGAGGAGGAGGTGGTGGAAGAGCAGGAGCCCCCAGCTCTTCGTCCAGATCTTCCCCAAGTTTTTCCCCCAGATCTCCACCTAGATTTTCCCCCAGATCTTCTTCCTCTCTCCTCCCTCCCTCTCTCCCTCCCTCCCTCCCTCGCTCCCTCCCTCCCTCCCTCCCTCCCTCCCTCTCCTCCTCCTCCTCCTCCTCCTCCTCCTCCTCCTCCTCCCCTCCTCCTCCTCCCCCCCTCCTCCTCCTCCTCCTCCTCCTCCTCCTCCTCCTCCTCCTCCTCCTCCTCCTCCTCCTCCTCCTCCTCCTCGTTCCAGCAGTCCACGGCGTGGGCTCCAGCACAAGGGAGGCAAAAACCAGCCAGACCCCGACGATTGGCTTCCACGACGCGGCCCTGGGCGTTAGTTGAACTGCCCTGCCCTGTTCGATTCCTTCCTTGGGGGGCGTTTGCTAAACGGCGTCGCTTGTCGGGGTGATGATCATGGGGGTGGATTGTCTACCGTCGACCAGCACCGTATTTTTGCGGAGCGCACGCGGTCAGCTCCCGCGCCGATGTAATGGCTGTCCCCGGAAAGGGCAGCCAGAGCGAGCCGCGCCCGAACCCCGGCCTCAATTGGCGCAGAAAAGCCCACCGAGGCAAGCGTCTCACCAGACAAAGCAGTCCACTGACTGCAGCCAGGAATCTGTACACGACCGCCACGTGAGCGACGCAAAAAACGCAAAGGGGCGTTTGCGCCGACATTGGCGCGTAAGCTGCCCGCGTCAGGCCGCGCGTAAGCGCCCTCGCTTCCAATGTGGCGCGCCGCGCTGGCGGCCCGCGTGAGCCACCGCGTAAGGTCGCCACGTCATCCCGCGCAAGACCCATCTCTTTTCGTCGCTCAGCCCACGGGCCCAGCGGGAAGCCAATGCTCACCGAGCGCGTTCCATTACTTGCATAGTACCTACTCGCAAACGTCCTGCAAGCACGTGTATTACTGTTTTATGTCTTGCGCCGTAAATCCCCCGCCTCGGTTCCAGGCCATCTGCGAGCATCTACTCTGCGAGCAGTGGAGCGCGCTCGCCGAACTGCGCCTCCCGCAGCCCAGCCCGGCCAGACTGTGCCGCCGCAGCCAGCCGGGACCAGGCCGCGCGGCCCGCCGCCGTGTCTCCCGCCCCCTTCCACCGAGGGGGGCGGGCCACGCGGCCAGCACGGCGCGCCCGACGATGTGCCGGCCGCCATGCAGTCGGAGCCGCGAGGCGACGCGGCGGACCCGGAGGCTGCCTCGGCAGCGGCGGCGCAGGTGCCCGAGATCCCGATCACTCGGGCGCTGCGGGAGGTGCCCCTGGCCCAGGGTGCGCCCCGGGATCCTCGGGGCGGCCCCGCCGGCCTCCAGGGCACGCCCCACGAGGCCCAGGGGGGGCCCTGGAATCGGAGGTGGATAGACCTCCTGCCCTGACACGTCGATTCAGGAATTGGCCGTTTTCGCTTCGCGAGAGGGCGCCGCGGCCGTCACTTTTGCGGGTCCAGGTCCGTCGGTTTCGGTCCTGGGCCGTTTTCATTAAGGGGAGGTTTATTAAAGGGAGGTTAGTCCACCGCCGACAGAAGCTCCAGGGCGGAGCGCAAAGCCGGGGGCACCCGGGGCCAGGGGCACCTCTGGCAGCACCCGGCGGTCTACTTTGTGCTCGTCTCCCCGCACCCGGGGCGGCACGCGGAGCTCCTCCGGCTGCTGCAGAGGAAGATCGTGGGCCCGCTCATCGGCCGCAGGATCCTGTCGGAGTTCCGCGTGCTCACGGTCACTCCGCCGTCCTTCTCGGACGCGGAGCAAGAGCAAAGTCGGAGCCGGCTGGGGGTGTGAGGTGTCCCAGCGCGTGACTGGTTCTGGCGAGCCGGGAGAGGGCCGAGGTTCGGGGCGCTGGGTTCGAGAAGATTTCTGCCTTTTTCGGTCCGCGGGGGCCGTGTCCGAGCCCCGCGACCGGCAAAAGCGGATCCGGGATGCACAATTGCACCAGGTGGACCCTGGGAAGGGTTTGGGGACCGATTGTGATCGGATTGGCCATCTTGATCTACTTTCGGGGGCCCTCTTCAGCTCAGACCCACCAGCCGCCTCCTAGAACAAACACATATCCCATGTCTGTCATGCGAACCCTAATTGCCCCACCACGCCACGATTTCTAAGGGGGGAGGCTGTGGACCTCCCGAACGAAGTGAACCCCGCCCTCCCCCTTCAGAACTCGTGGGGCGGTGGGGTAGAGTTCGCATGTGGCCTCCTGTGTCGCACTTCTCTCATCCCCCCCTCCCACTCTCGTGGGGCGCCAAGTATACACGCGCATAGGACCTGTCCGGGCCGATCCTTGTGTGTATGTATGTATGTCTGTCTGTCTGTCTGTCTGTCTGTCTGTCTGTCTGTCTGTCTGTCTGTCTGTCTGTCTGTCTGTGCGTGCGTGCGTGCGTGCGTGCGTGCGTGCGTGCGTGCGTGCGTGCGTGCGTGCGTGCGTGTGTGTGTGTGTGCGTGTGTGTGTGTGTGCGTGTGTGTGTGTGTGTGTGTGTGTGCGTGTGCCTCCCCTGGCCGAGCCAGGAGGGCGGAAGCACAGGATCCTGAGCCCAAGCTGGCCCTGGCGAGGGTCGTCCTCGGGGTGTCAGGATGCCCTAGTGCTGTCCTCGTGCTGCCAAGACGTCCTCGTGCTGTCAAGACGCCCTCGTGCTGTCCTTGTACTGTCAAGACGTCCTCGAGCCGTCAAGACGCCCTTGTACTGTCCTCGTACTGTCCTCGTACTGTCAAGACGTCCGCGTGCTGTCAAGACGTCCACGTAGTGTCCTCGTACTGTCAAGGCGTCCTCGTCCTGTCAAGACGCCGAAGCAAGAACCGCTTTCGGAGGTCAGGAGAGGATCTGGTGTTCGGGCCGTGCTTCAGTTCTGCTGGGACAGGGAGGTGATCGTTTCCTGATTCGTTGTTTTGCCGATCGGCGCGGGCCCTCGCACCCCTTTCTAGGCCTCCTAGACGGGGTCCGAGTAGATGGGGTCGAAGGATCGCGCCGCATTGCCGATGCATCGGTGATGCGGCTCGATGCGGAGCCCGATTTGCTTCACGTCGACGTCGCCGATGCATCGCCGACGTCGCGAGTGCGCCAGTGCATCGCCGATGCATCGCCGACGCATCGGCGATGTATCGGCGATGCGGCGCGATCCTCCGACCTCACCTACTCCGGCCCCATCTAGGAGGCTCCTATGCATGGAACGGATCTTGGCTGTTTTTGACGTCTGTTGCGAACTGTTGCAAACAGTCGCATTGTAAGCAGAGGTCCGGAGCCAGACCCCTCCCCCCCTTCACCCCCCACCTTCCGCCCAACGTCGAAACGCCGAGTAAGAACGCGTTGCCGATCCCGTTCGCGGCCGAGGCTCACCGATCCCCCCTCTTCCCCCCTGCAGTGGAGACCCATGCCAAGAAACACCCTGCTTGCCTCCAGGGTGTTTCGATGCTTTACTATGGACACCGTGCCGTTCCCACGCGAAGAACCAAGGGACGTCCTGGGGTCTCAGGGTTGGGTTTCCTGCGGAAGGTTTCTTGTGGACTGGCCTCCACTGTACCCTCCGCCCATTGTCGCAGCGCCGAAGAAGAAGACCCAGACATGCGACGTCCTGATTTTTCCTGGACGGCGCCCCTGGAAGCCCCGACCCTGTCTCCGGGGCCGGTTTCTCGTCCTGAGTCGTTTTTTGACGGCCCCGAGGCCCGGCAAAAGCCCCCAGAGGCCGAAAATAGTTGGCGGCGCGCAGAGAGGGGCAGGGCGAGGGGGGAAGGCTTCTTGGAAGCACCCCTGCTTCTCAGAAGGCGCGGGCCTTGTCTGTAAATGTAAGGCCCGCGGCTTCTAAGGAACAGGCCTCCTTCTAAGAAGCCTTCCCCCCTCCCCCTGCCCCCCTCTGCGCGCCGCCAAAATAGCCAAAACCTCCCGTCCTGATGTTTTCACGACGCGGTCCTGTGCGCGGCCGAGGCTCGCCGTGGCCAGCAGAGGCCCCCGTGCGGTGCTCCTATTCGGCACTCCCGTCTTGGCAGCACGAGGGCTGCGCACCGGTCCGGACCTCCTGCGACATTCTAGGCCTCCTAGATAGGGTCGGAGTAGATGGGGTCGGAGGATCGCGCCGCATCGGCGATACATCGCCCATGCGGCTCGATGCGGAGCCCGATGTTCTCCACGCCGACGTCGCCGATGCGTCGCCGACGTCGGCGGTGCATCGCCGATGCATCGCCGATGCATCGCCGATGTATCGCTGAGGCATCGCCGATGCATCGCCGATGCAGCGCGATCCTCCGACCCCATCTACTCCGACCCCATCTATGAGGCCTCTAGCCTCTAGACATGGCGGGGTGGTGACCACACCGCGTGGTGAGTCGGCGGGGATGCGGGGTCACCGCACGGTTTTGGGACTCGGGTCGCGCTCCGAGGAGGTCCCGGGCGACCGGGGCCTCCGAGGTCCCAGAAGCGTGCGCCGATGGGCCGTGCGGGTGAGGTCTTGGGGCAGTTCGAGGTCACCGCACATTCTGTCACCGCACCGTTTCGGGACTCCAAAGGTTCATTGGCTGACGCCACACCGCCGACGCCTTGGGGCGGCAGGAAGAGTGAGACACGGAGTCTGCGGAGCGCGCGCGATTTCTGGGAAATCGTCGGGTTTCAGCTTCTTGGGATTTCGTCGGGGACGGTTGGCGGATCGCGGCTTTGCTCCTGGGCTTCTCTGGGCTCTCCTAGCAGTTTTTTGAGGCCTCGTGGGGGCCGCGTTGAGGCCTCTAGGGGCCTCTTTTGGGCCTCTCGGGGGCCTGGTGGGAGCCTCTTGGGGGCCTCTTGGCGCCTCCTCAGGTTTGTTCAGGGCCGAGTGCTAGAACTGTCCATTCGGGGTCCCCCTTCTGGGCCTCCTCTTGGGGCCGTCCTGGGGCCCTCCTGGGCCGTTTTGGAAGCTTTTGGGGCCGTCTTGGGGCCTCTTGGAGCCTTCTTGGGCCGTCTTGGAGCCCTCGTGGGGCCTCTTGGGGCTATCTTGGGTAATATTGGGTCGATCTTGAGGGCTTCTTGGGCCGTTTTGGGCCTCGTGACAGCCCAAGAGGCGAATGTGTTTAATTTTATACATTCTCGGGATTTTTGCTTCTGAAGAGCCCCTTGGGACGCCTCGTGGTGGCTTCTTGAGGCGTCTTGGGGGCCTCTAGGGCCGCCTGGAGGCAATCTTGGGCGTCTTGGAGCGATCTTTCGGCGACTCGTAGCCCTCTTGGACCGTCCAGGGAGCCTTGTGGGCCCCTCTTGGCCCGTTGTGGGGCCCCCTGAGGCTCCAAGGGTGCGGCCAGCCCTCTTACCTTGCCTCCTCCCCCCTCCCCCTCCCTCCAAACCCGCTGGACCGGGCTCCCCAGACCCCCTCGCGTTGTGAAAAAATCACGACGGGAGGTTTTTCGCTGTTTTCGGGACCGTCAAAAACGACTCAGGACGAACAACCGGTCCCGGTGGAAGGGTCCAGACCTCTGGGGGTCGACGTTGTGAAAAAATCACGACGTCGGGGGTCTGGGTCCCGGGGGAGGGGTTTGGGGAGGGGGACGCATCTCACACGCCTCGACCCCGAGGGGTCGGCAGATCTTGTTCAATCTGCGGCCTCAGGGCTCCCGACCCCTCCCCCGGAGCAGTTTTTCGTCCCGAACCCGTTTTGGAAAGTCCGTGGCCCTCGATAATGGGCCCCAGAGGCCGACTTTGAGGACAAATTGCGGAGCTGAAGCAGAAACATGTCGTGGACCCCCAGAGGTCTGGGTCCCTTCTTCGGGGCAAGTTTTTCCATCCTGACTGGTTTGTTGACGGTCCCGAGGCGTGGGAACAACCCTCAGAGGCCGAACATCACGACGTATTTATGTTGACGACGCGCGGAGGTCTGGGTACACCTGGGATGAATCCTTCGCCCCCAAGCTCAGTGGGCCTTGGAAACGACTGGGCAGTTTATTTACCCGTTCGGCTTTGCGGCTTTTGACGGTTCCGGCGCAGATGTTTCCCGCATTCCGTCGCCGTGTGTTTACCTTTTTCCTGCTGCAATCTGGGAGCAGGTTTTGCTTGTTTCTTGGAGCCGTCGTTTTTCCGTTCTCATGCTTCAGGTTTCACAGCAAACAATGACCCTGCCGCTTCTGGAGCCCACTAAGTCCCCCCCAAGGACAGCTCGCCCTTGTTTTTTTATCCTCTGGGGGGTAACGCTCGTTACCCGGGCCTCTCCCCCCCCCCCCCCCTCCCGTAACGGTAACGCTCGTACGCGGGGGGGGTCTCGGTCTTCCCCTCCAACATGCTGGTGCCCGAAGGCATGCGCACTGTGGTGTGGTGGTCGCAGGCGCACTGTGGGCGCTCGCAGGCCATTGCGGCGCTCGCATGCGCGATGCTGGTGCTTGCGGGCTTTGCGCTTGTACTCGAATCGTCGTCGTCGTCGTCGTCGTCGTCGTCGTCGTCGTCGTCGTCGTCGTCGTCGTCGACGGCGCCCGAAAACGGCCTCCGGAGGCCGAAACAGGCGGCAAACGTCGTCGTCGTCGTCGTCGACCTCGTCGCTCGTCGCTCGTCGATCATCGTCGTCGCGCGCGCGGGCGCGGGCGTGGTGCCGGGACCACGCGGCGGGCTTTGCGCTTGTACTCGAATCGCAAGCCACTGTGGTGCTCTCAGGCAGAGAGTGCTGCTCGCGCGCATACTATGGCGATCGCAGAGCGCCCCTGCTTCGCCATACCCCGCCCAGCCCAAGCGTTACCGTTACCCGGGGGGCACGACCCCCCCCCCCCCCCCCGGGTAACGAGCGTTACCGGCCGGAATAAAAAAATGATCTCACGCTCGTCGAAGCTCCGCCCATACTCAGCAACCTGGGGCATCGCAACCTATTCGTAAGCTGGGTTCGTCGAGATGTGAGCCACCGTGGAATCCACTGATAAACCCCCTGTCCCCTTGGCAGCCCCCGCCCCCATCCCGGCAGGACAGCTCGCCCACGGTGGTGGTCTTCGAGCTGGTGGTGCCGCTGCCCTGGCCGGTCACCAACTGGGACGTCGAGGAGTGGCAGCGGCGGCTCGGGAACGACGCGCGCCTCGTGGTGGCGCCGGCCTCCGCGCCGCAGAGGGCGGAGGCGTGGGACGCGCACAGGGCCAGGTCGTACATCCAGGCCTCCCAAACTGGGCCCGAATATGTGAGGTCGAGGGATCGCCCCGCATCGACAATGCCTCGACGATGCGGCTCGACGTATTCTCCAAGCCGATGCATCAGCGATGCATTGGCGTTGCGGCGCGATCCTCAGACCCCATCTGATCGGACCCCGTCCAGGATCGGCAGCGAGCGAGGGGGGAAGTGAGAAAGAGATGAGACAGAGAAGGCCTTCTCAGAAGGCGTCGGGATTTCTCAGAAACCCTCGCACCTTTGGAGAGATGTTTTATGTCTTCTGGGAAAGCGTTGGGAACTTTTCATGATCGAAGGAGGAAAACTGCAGATGCCTAAACTTTTGGCGCTCCGCGCGGATTTCTTGGATCCGCGCTGGACCCTTCTGGCGGCGCCTCCAGCGCCGCCCCCTGGCGCGCTCTGCGCGCCGGGGAGGGGGGTCCAGCGCGGATACAAGATATCGGCGCGGAGCTCCAAAAGTTTGTGTTTATGCCGTTGTTTCTTCTCCTGCAGATGGCCGTGGGGGGGGTCCGAGCCTTCTGATAAGGCCTGCCGTTGTCACTGCTTGTGATTGATTTAAGCATCTGCGCTCGCTTGCGCTGTTTCTGTCTTGGACCAGTAGGTCTAGCCTTCGGACTTGCTTATATAACTATTATCTGGACGCAGTATTCTTGTGGATTCCTGTGGCGGGCCCTTCGGATTCCTATGAGGATTCCTACGGATTCCTACCCAGACCCCCGACGCCATGATTTTTTCATAACATCGACCCTCGAGGGTCTCGACCCGTTCCCCCTGGACCCGTTTTTCACCCTGCGTCGTTTTCTGACGGCCCCAGGGCCGGGCGAGGGCCCCCGGAGGACAAACATATGGAACGAACACCTCCCGCCATGATTTTTTTCATTGCCCGAGGGGCTCTGGGTATGGGTCGGCGACGAGCGAGGGGGGGAAATGAGAAGGGGCGGGCCTTCTCAGAAGGCTCGGAAGTCCCCAAGCCTTCTAAGCAGTTTTCTGAGCCTTCCCCGACGACGCAAAAAGCCTCTCGGAAGGCGCGGGGGGTTTCTGAGAAGTCCCGCCGCCTCTGAGAAGGCCTTCTCCTTCTCATGTCCCCTCCCCTCTCTCGCCGCCAAATGGGGGGTCATGTGGATTCTTGTTCCTCCTCCTCCTCCTCCTCCTCCTCCTCCTCCTCCTCCTCCTCCTCCTCCCCCTCCCTCCTCCCTCCTCCCTCCGCCCTCCTCCCTCCTCCCTCCTCCCTCCTCCCTCCTCCCTCCTCCTCCCTCCCTCTTCCCCCCGCGGCGCGACCGGGATCCGAGTGATGGGTTCCGAGGATCACACCGCATCGGCGATGCGGCGTATGGGGGGCAGATGTTCTCCACGCCGACGTCGCTGATGCATGGTCGATGCGTCGCCATGTATCGGCGATGCGGCATGACCCCCCGACCTTGGGTAACGCTAGTGCGGGAAGGGTTCAGGCTCGAGGTTCGATGTTTTCGGTCGTTTTCGTCGTATCTCGGCGGCTTTCCAGCCTCTGGATGCCGTCCAGCGGCTGCGTCTCGCCGAGAGCGCTCTGGGGGTGCCAGAATCGTCCCGAACAGCCGCCAGAGGCCCGAGTTATAACCCGAAAGCCACCGCGTGGGGGTGCTTGGCTCAGGAGAGGATATTTCGACCCCAGACCGCCCACTCATCTCCGACATCCGAAGGATAGCCCCTTCCCGCCCAGGAGCGTGCGGAGTCGGCACCGGGGGCCCATCGCCGATCTACTGGCGCAGGTCGACGTTGCTCCCCCAGGAGCCGCTCCCCCCCGAGCGTTGCCCCGCAGGTCGGCTCTGACGCGCGCCATGGTGCTGCCACCCGCGCGACTGGCACCGCACGCTGCCGCCCCCAGGCCCTCCCGAGGATTCTCGGAGTGAGGCTCGAGGACGCGTTCTGCCATCTGGTGGGCCTCCGTGGGCGTCTCGTGGGCACGACGGACTCCGCCGCGAGATCCTGCTCGGAGCGCGCTCCAGGGTCGGTCCGGAAGGGAAGTTGGGCCCTCCGACCCCAGATCTCGGTGCCGTGACAGGAATCGCGGCGACAGGCTTCGTCCGTGGCGTTCTCGCGGGTTCCGCACGGCTCTGTCAGCCTCGGGGTGCCTCCAGGCAGCCGCGCCACACGCCGAGGGCGCTCCCCGGGGGGGTGCCCGGAGCGTCCCGAGCGGGCGCCGCGGGCCCGATGGCAGGCCCGAAGGCGAGGCTCCGAGGATTCCAGGATCGTGGCTCGAGGGCGTTGTCCACCCCACCCTGGGCCTCCGCGCGGCCGCGGTCGGCGCCGCCGCGGTCTTCTGGTCGGAGCGCACCCCAGTCTGGATATCCTCCTCCTCCTCCTCCTCCTCCGCCTCCGCCTCCGCCTCCTCCTCCTCCTCCGCCTCCGCCTCCTCCTCCGCCTCCTCCTCCTCGGAGTGGATAGTGCAGGTCGACCGTTGGCCCCTGGACTTCTACCTGAAAGTCGGGCGTGTCCCTCCGTAAGTCGGGCGTGTCCCTCCACAAGAGGAGTGTTCAAAAATAGTCAAACATACAGTCTGGGGCCTCTTTGTTTGCCTCTATGTTGGACTGTCCTTTCGCATGTTCTGACTGTTTGTAGTTCTTCGTCCAGAATCCGCCTGTGGGAGCTGCCCGACCTGATTCTGCCTCCTGGCGTCGTGAAAAAATTGCGGCGGGTTTGTTCTGGCGATGCTCGGCCCCTGGGGGCTCGTGCCAGGCCCCAGAGCTGCCCCCAAATTGCCCTGGGTGAACAGCGGGGCCCCAGGAAGGGGCCCTCCTGGGTCTCCCTGACGAGGTCGGAGCAGATGGGGCTGGAGGGTCGCGTCGCACTGCCGGTGCATTGCCGACGCGGCTCCATGTGGAGCCCGCTATTCTTCGGACGGGCCCGAAGCCAATCTGCTCTGTCCGCCTTCCTACTGCATGCTTCCAGCTACTCCCGATCGGCGGGCAGGTAGGGTGGTTGTGAGTGGATGTCTTGGAGGGTTATATCTGATCCAGGGTTGCACTCCGCCCCTCCCCCCACTGCTAATGGAATCGATCCCTCCCTCGCTGGATGGGTACGCCTCGTCCCCTGATTATTGTTTGACTATTTTTGAATATTCCTCCTGTGGAGGGACAGGCCCGACTGAATTGTGGTTGTGGTCTTGTGTGCGCGGCGTGCTGCTATGTGCTGGTGCCACACACTCCCCCTGTGGGCGTGGGGTGGTTAGTCGTCGTCGTCGTCTTCCGTCGGCGTCGGTGTCTTCATTCATCGTCGTCGTCGTCGTCTTCGAGCTTCCGTCGGCGTCGGCGTTGTCGCCGTCGCCGTCGCCGTCATCATCTTCCACATCCCGTGTGGGGGGGGGGCCGAGGAACTCCGGGATCCATCCTTTCTGGGGGGGAGGGGGGCGCTGTGAACCCTCGACCGGGTATCATGTCTGGCCTAAGCTATTTGAGATGTGGGTTACACATTCCCGCAGTGGCTTCGGGTGGGGTAGCGATCTGGGCTAAGCGAGCTGCGCCCACTCAGCGGATTGATCCAACCCTCCTAAGCCACTTGCAGCACTTGTAACCCACTTATGAGCCAGGTTGGGCCAGATATGGCCCACCTTGGCATCCACTGTCAACCCCCTTAATTGTCGCAAGTTTGTTCGGTTCGACCCGGAGCAGATCCGTGACCTCGCCAGGCCATGTTTGTGAAAGGCCACCTCACGCCCCAGAGGTGGGAGTATCTCGCCAGGCTTTCGAGGGGGTGGAGTCAAGGGTGGAAAAAACACCCCGACCCCGACAGTTTGCGTTTACTAAACAGCCCTGGGCGTTTACTGCACAGCCCTGCCCTTTTCATTCCTTCCATGGGTGCGTTTACTAAACGGCTTCGCTTGTCGGGGTGCTTATTATGGGGGTGGATTTTCTGCTCTGTATGGAGACCCAAGTATAGTCGCTGTTATGACCCTTTGTGATCCGATTCCGATTCCGATTCCATCCCAGCACCTCCCCGGACATCTGGATGCTCCAGTGTTTCCGATGCGTGGGCCTGAGAGGTCCGGACCATTTCCCCAGGGCCGGTTTTCGCCCTGCGTCGTTTTTTTTCAGCGGCACCGTAACGGGTATTCACTAACAGGTACTCTTTGCAATTTTGGGGGCCTCTTTCTGGCATTGCGGCGTTGTCCACATCGGGGCGGACTGGGTTCGCCGGGTCACTGGCCAGAGTACCAGTTCGTGGAGTCCCCGCCAGAGGGGCGCTGATTCTCTGACGCCCCCGAGGCCTGGCGAGGGCCCCCCGAGACAGGAAACGGCCAGAAGCCCGGCGCTCCGGTCTTTGTCGAAGCGTCGGATCTCTGGGCCCCTCAGACGACGAGTGCGAGGTCGCGGAGGAGGACGACGAGCAGGACGACGACGAGGACTTGGACGACGAGGACGACGACGAGGAGGGCGTGGCCGACAAGGAGGGCGAGGACGACGAGGAGGGCGAGGGCGAGGGCGAGGGCGAGGACGACTAGGAGGACGAGGACGACGGGCAGGCCGGGCGGCGCCTCCTGGCTCGCCGCCTGCGTGGACAGCAGGCGGGGCGACCGCGAGGAGCAGTGCCTCCTCGAGGCGCTGCGGCCGGAGCCGGACCTGCCCCGGCCCTCGCTGAGCGTCGTCGACGCGACGAGCGGACATCCCGGGGGGCAGGTGGAGGGCAGAAGCAACGACAGGCCCAGAGGTCCGACGTTCCGCTCCTCCTCCCTCCTCGTCCTCCTCCTCCTCCTCCTCCTCCCCCTCCCCCCTTCCTTCCTCCTCCCCTCCCTTCCCCCTCCTTTACCATTTTCGGCTCAAGGGGTCAAAAGGGGCCGCGTTCCCCCCCTTCCCCCAGCAGGGCGCCCGCCGCGCGCGATAGGCCCTTGCGCTTCCGTGGCCGGGCGGCTGCGGTGCTGCTGCCGCCCCAGGAGGCGGCTCCCGCGGCGCGGCGGCACGACGCGTGGGAGGACACCCTCCCCAACCTGGCACAGGCGTCTTCGGCAGCGGCGGTCACTGTCTCGACGGCTGCTACAACTGGAGGCGGAGCGTACCTCGCTCGCTGAACATCACGGCAAGAACTCGTGGATGTCGGCTCGAGGTCGCAAGGATGACAACAAGAAGCGTATCGATCCTCGCTGGAGCTGCGTGGCTACTCGCCAGTGCGGCTATACGAGGAAGTATGCATCCAACCAGCGATGCTATCGCTGCGGCAGGGACCGCGCGGGCACCCCCCCCCGATAACCCGCCCGAGCGGCGTCCCGCGCGCTCCCCCGCGCCTCCACGGCGCACCCGTCAGTCCAGCCGCCCCAGGGAGCAGGCCAGGGACCGCGGGAGAGGCGACGAGGAGCCTGCCGAGGAGCCCCCAGTCGTCACCTCCGACGCGGTGGCCCGTGCCCCAAAGGCGCTCGGCGCGCTCCGCCGCCGGGGCCTGGAGGACGTCAGCCCCCTCCTCGCGGCGGCCAAGAAGGAGCTCTGGGAGGCAGAGGCGGCCGAATTGGCTACCAGGACGCCCCTCCTTCGGGCCGTGGATCGGCAATCCCAGCGGAGCCGTGAGGTCACGGAGCTTCGCGAGCAGGTGGCAGAGCTCAAGGAGCAGTTCGACGCGAAGACTGCCGAGCTCGAGGCCGCCACAGCCGAGCTGGCCATCTTGGACTTTGAAGTGGCCACGGCACGAGCAGCGATTCTCGCAGCAGGAGCTCGACCCGTCGCGGTCGCCAGCGGGGTTCGTGATGTGGATGATGTTGTCGCACGCCTGGGGCACATCGTCAGCAGCGCGCCCACGGTCTCCGCAGGGAACGAGAGCACCTACCGCGAGTCGCTCAGCAAGCACTACAAGGAGCTGTGCCAGACCATTGCGCAGCAGCGCCAGGGGACGGCAACCCAGCCCGCGGCCTCGCGCGCAGCAGGCTCAGCAGCACCCGTGGCAGCATCGCATGTCACCCCACATCCTTGGGGCGCAGCAGTCCCCAGCGAGGATGCGGATCGGGAGACGACCGAAGGCAGCTAGCCTGATACTGATCTTCATCTTGGCACTTTGCCCTGTGCACGAGGGCCGCCAGCTCGACATCATGCCGTGCCAGCGACAGGAAGGCACTGTACGTTTGCTGGCTCGGGCCGCGGCAGCGCCCTATGACGGCCACCACGCTCGGGCTGCGATGAACCATGAGAATGCAGTTTTGACTGGATGTGCTGACGCGGGGTCACCGTCTGGCGTTTGCAATGTCACGGGCGCTGGCAGCTTTATTCCTACTGCGCTGACAACTTTGGCTGAAGATAGGGAGCGCAACGTGTGCATTCCTCGTGCGGATCCCGTCTCGCGGCTGGACAGCTTTGATCATCTATGGCGGTGCGAACAGCAGGTGCTGAACGCGCTCCTCAGCACCAGTGCCTCGCGTGTCGCCGCCGGGTCGTCCGTGCGCGTGGCGTCGTCGACGGACGAGCCGACTTCCGCTTCGCGCGTTCGAGGTCCGCGAGGCTCCCCAAGCCCGATGCGTGCACTGACCAGGTCAGGCCCCCCTGCCGACCCTGACTTCGGATCCGCCTTACTTCGGTGACGAACAACTTCAGTAGGGCTTGGAATGTCCGCCTTACTTTTCAAGCCCCGCTGATGCCAATTTCCGCCCTACCTTTCTGTTGTTATTTCCGCTCTACTTCTGTGGATTTTCGCCCCATTTTATGTTGGGTGCAGAAATTTCCGCCATCCTTTTTCGGCTCCTCATGGGTGGATTTCCGACGCAATTGTAAGTGGGAGAAAAAGCCAAAGTAGGGCGGATCCGGAGTCAGGGGAGGGGGTGGTCGATGCTGCCTGGCCGGGTGACGACGCTAGGGCGTGCAGGACTGGGCAGCATGTTGAGTCGAACTAACCCTGCCAGTGTGCCCCCTGGCGACCAAACGACCGACAATGATCAATGGAGTTTGATACACCACCTCAGAACCTACTTGCGCCAGTGGGCGGGAGATCGGATCGCCTGGGAGGACCTCATGGGCGGGGGCGACTGGCTGCGGCGGTGCACTTTCTACGCCTAGCTTCTCATATCTGAAGATGAGGCAATTTGCGCTTGGGCTTCGGACCCCGCTCATCCACGCGCCCTTGCTGAGCGCGCGTGCCTCCGCGCGCAGTTTGAGAGCGGGGGGGGGTCCGCCAGCGCATCTTCCGCCACCGGCAGACTTACAACCGCGACCGCGCCAAGTGGTTCGAGCTGCTGTCGCATCGTCTGCGCCTTGTGCGCAACGCTTGCCTGGCCGCTGCCAGCGAGCAAGCGGGCCAGCCCTATGCGGACCTCCTCGCCAGTGAGGCGACGCGGCAGTTAGAGACGGCGCGCGCTGCGGATGATTGCCTTCGCCAGGGATCTCATTCCGCCAGACGGGCCCCCGCGTTCTCCCGCCGGAGCTGCTGCGCCCGCCGAGGAGGATGCGCCCATGAACGACGAGCAGGGCGACCAGGACATGGACGCCAATGAGGCCGACACGGACACCGCCAACCTGCTGCAGGTGAAGGCCGCACATTCTGGGCCACTAGCAGTGGAACGCCTTCGTCGCCGTCAGCGCCCTTTCCCGCGCGCTGCGGGCGCGAGCACCAGCAGGACTTCACTTTCCCTGCGCCAGGGGCGACCAGGTGCTAGAGAGACTGCAGCTCGAGCCAGGGTGCGAGATGTCAACGGGGGTCCGCCGACCCGTCGCTCGGCGTCGGTGCCAAATCAGGGTCGCTTGATGCAGCTCAAGGGTTGGCCACTGGACGGCCCCTTGAGTGCCCTGATGCGGCGTGTAACCGAGCGGCTAACCAGGCGGTTTTCGTCGCCGATTCTGCTGGGCACGGTCTCCCTGGCGGCCAGCCCAGGAAGCGGGCAGGCAAGCGGAAGCATGCGTTGAAGATGGCTTCATGCAACAGCTCAGGCTGGCCGCAGATGCAGGACTTCCTGGATCAAGAGCTCCATCTGCAAGGCCATTTCGGCGCACAGGAACCCGGCACCAACGCCAAGAAGCCACTAGAAGAGAAAACATTGCAGCCTCTGTTGAATGCCGTCGCCCGTGTCTTCGGGTTCGCGTGTCCAGAGTTGATGAATGCCAGCTCTGAGCGCGTGGGAACATAACGGGCCGTCTCCAGTTCCCCAAGTGAGCGTTAGGATTTCCATGGGCCGCGCGAGTCCCGCGGGCCGTGCGAACCCAGCCAGCCCCATGAACCCCACAAGTTCCACAAAGGGCTTCATGGCCGAACGTGCGCCGCAGCGCTCATAAGCCCAACGCGCCGCGCTGGCCCAGCATGCCGCGCGGGCACCATTGGCTCCATGACTCGTCAGGGCCACATCTGGTTTCTGAGCCTTGGAAACCCCGCGGGCCATGGGAGCCCCGTGGGCCTCAGGGGCGCCATGAGCTGCATGGGACGTTTCCCTATCATGGAAGCACCGTGGCTTGCAAAGTCGGAGAGCAATGCGAGCCATCTCAAGCTTTCTTGGCTTCGTTGGGTCGCTCAGCCCCCACAGGGAAAGCGCTCCGAACTTTTCCAGTGGCGTCTTGGTGCTGGTGCCGGCTTTTTGTTCCCTGCAACATCAAAAAGCCGACACCAGCACCAAGACCCCCACTGGAACGGCGGCCCCATGTGCGAGCTGAGCCCCTCGACGATTTCGGAAGGTTGCCACGGGCTGCGGGCTTGGGTCAAGAGGGGGCCACGGTCTTATGCCCAGGCCGCGACGGGCGGCCACCGCCCCCTTTCGCAGAGAGCGGCGGTTTCGAACTCGTCGGGCCTTGGCGTCGGGCCAGACGAGGGTCAGGGATGCGACGCGGGCGGACGTAGGGTGGGTGAGGGGTGGGGGGAATGAGAGGGGGGCGGGCGGGCGGGGGCAGGCGTGGTGGAGGGCGGCGGTGGGGGGAGTGAAGCTTCAGCCATGGGGGATGCCGCAGCCTTCCCTCTTCTCTCCCTCTTCTCCCGAGAGCGCCCGCTAGTTTCGCTTCTCGCTTGCACTTGTTATTTCCTGCTTTCCCTCCTGCGTGCTGCGCGACGTCTCCCTTCCCCCGTCCTCCTCGCCCACTCTGCGATTCCTCAGGCCAGGGCGGGCTCGCGCTGGTCCAAAACGCAATTCGACACTTCGTGAAACAAATAGTTTCTTGGTGCTGGTGTCGGCTTTTTGTTCTCCCACCATTGTCGGCTTCTCGCTGAAGAGTGGTGCCTGAAGCGAGGCTGGCAGGCCTTCATCAGCGACGCGCAACTCAGTGAGGGTGGCAAGTCCCGGGTGGGGCTGGGCTTTTCGTTCGGAGGCGAGACAGATCAACGTGGTTCCGTTGCAGGCCTTCACTGCCACGCATGAGCTTATCCCACGGCGCAGTGTGGTCATGATGAGTCAGTCTGGGATCCGTGGTGGCCTCATTGTTGGCTCGACGTACCTGCAGCAGGTGCCCCGTTTGAGCGGTGTCAGCGTGGACTACCTTCGCGCCATCGGCGAGTGCCCCAGCTACTACACCACGCCGTTTGCCATGGCAGGTGACTGGAACATGCCGCCAGATGTCTTGCAGATGTCTGCCCTTCCATTGAGGTTGCGGGCCGCGGCAGTTGCTTCTGAGGAGGGCACCTACAAGGGACCCCGCCACAGCCAGCCACTCAACGTTGGACGACTGGCTTGCCCCTGACTGTCTCTCGCTACCACCATGCCCACACCATCC